ATGATTTCTACTGCTCCACAGCTTCTCGCCATACACTCTTCCTTCTGTGTCCAATTCCCCCTCTGCAGGAAACACTATCATCAAGAATTACCAAAACTGTCCTCTAGATGCTTTTCAGTTTGTAGCCAGTGAGAACTACCTGCAGCATCTGACACACCACAGGCACCTCTGCTAAACGTCTTTTAATCCCTCCCCATGGCTTATGTTCTTTTCCCTCTCTCCCTCTGGCTACTTACCCCATCTTTGCTTTATTCTGCTCATCTAGGTTTTTCCAGTGTGTCCTAGATTTCACAGGTAATTATGCTTTCTTTTTGGCTGCCTAGAAAATTCTCTGGGTGAATCTATCCAAACTCATCATTCGAACGGCTGCAAATAAAACTCTGTCCCTGGGTTTAATTTTTTATATTTCAGACACAGACACATCCATCCATATGCATTTATCATTACACATGCGTACAACATGCAGATAGACACATTTACATCATTCATAGCCTTATGGGCAAATCCAAGAAACCAAAAGGAATCAATACTCTTGACCTGTCTGCTACCTCACCACTGAACCTCAGCATTTTTCTTTGGTTGCTCAGTCTCAGTTTTATGTCACTGTCTTCTTGTCACACTGTAAGTCATAACCTTTCTTTCTCAGTCATCACTTATCCTTTTCTTTCTTTTTTTTTTTAATTTTTATGTATTTGGTACAGGGTCTCACTACACAGACAGGACTCATAGTGATCCTCCTGTTTTCAGCCTCCCCAGTACAGGGATTAGAGGTGTGCACTGTCACACGCAGACTCTGTGGCTGGCTCCGCATACCCGGGGCAGGGCCATCAGTGCACGTGGTGCCAGGGAATGGACCCAGGCCCTGTGCGTGCCAAAGCAGCACTTCGTCTGCTGAGCTGTCTTGCCAGCCCTCACTTCCCTTTCCTGGTCTCACTCTCACAACTGCTGCTCCCTGCACCCCATATGCTCTCACTCTACGCAGCTGTTAGCTACTATGCCTCCACACTCCCTGACCCTCCTCCTGCACAGTGCCCGAGTCTGTCTGCATCATACCAACCTGTGACATAAGAGCATTCTTAGCAAGCTTAAACACTGAGACACTGCCTCGCCACAGCTGACAGGACCAAGGATTTTATGGAGATACCTAAAAAATATGCAGGAGTTGGCTTAAACTCCTCCCTGCTGTACGTAGCTCTTATTACACTAATTTCTGGCCATAGTTAACAGAGCAAACTTCTCTGAAAAGACAAACAGGAAGCCTCTCCTTATCATCCTGTCTGGGTAACATCTACTCCTATACTTACAGGTATCAGTAGCAGCTCTGAATCTCTTTACCACGTAATTCTGTACACTGAGATATTACTGTCTGCTCATTTGTTTATGTCTCTACTCTGTAATTTTATAAACTACTAGGAGGCAAGGATTCTTATTCTCTGTGTATATCCAACAGCTACAAGTACTCTAAGCAGGTGGGCATGGTAGTCCACATCCATAATCCCAGCTCTGAGGAGGCTGAAACAGGAGAATCACTGTGCGTGCCAGGCCAGCTGGGCTACAATGGGAGGTGAAGGCCACCTAAACTACACAGTAAAATTCTGTCTCAAAAGTCAAAACAAAATAAAAAGTAACAAGATGGACTTCTGATAAATGATTAATAAACAAAAGACTAAATTCTATATAAAACAAAAGCAAAAAGCACCTGTGACTACGTATTTGAAAAACCATGTTCTCCATTAAGGGAATTTCTAGTAGCTTGTACAGTATTCAGGTTAATAAGCTAAATAAAAATTTGAATTTTGTTCACACAACATGACTTATCCCAAGAAGTAACTACTGTACTTGATTTTTAAAAGTTATAATGGTTAAACCTACATCTTAAACTTGGTCGAGTTCAAACCATAACAAGAAGAGCACGTATCATTGGCCTTTGGACTCTTAACACACACTCATAATGTTCAAAATAAATACTATCATACAAATTGAATTCCAACTACTTTCATCCTGTAATCATGGACAGTTAGTTACTAAGTTCATATCAAATCTTTTTTAAACACATACTAAAATAATAATGAAGCTGTACCCCAAGTTCAAGTCATACTGGCTTTAGTACTTCAATGTACAGTTGTATTAGACTTAGAAAGTAGTTATAATACATGATATTTAGTTGAAACAACCTAACTGTTAATGACTTTAAATTCAAATAAACACCATGAGGAAACTTCTAATTTCCCTAAGGAAATATTAAATTGGATACACCGGAGCTGCTCAAATTATTTTAATCATTTGCCCTCTTAAGAAAGACCTTATGCCATTATGAAACTAAAAGGATGTGAAAATTCCCAATGAGGTTGTGCTCTTCCTAAAACACAGTATGTGTGCAATTCATTTAGACTTGTAAAATGCAAGCATGCTGATTCTGGACAACCATAATAAATTAAAAAGTTTCTATTCTCTCATTTTCAAATAAATTTGACTACAGCTGACAGGAAAAAATATAAACTGACTGTCATAGCAAGGACCTTCCTACAGTAAGGACACATGTGTGATCTGGTACATATTTTCAAGAGAAATATAAATGTGATGAGTCTGGACACTAATCATCACTATACTTGGGTCCTAGCTGAAGTAAGATACTAAAATACCATTCTCCTTGGAAAACATGAAAGCACACATATTACCAGCTTAACTTGGGCAAATGGTTTTTGTCGTAGTGCTTGTTATTTCTGACATTTCTTAGATAACGGCACATTGCCGGTTTTTCATTCTAGAACATCAGCTGCACAGCTTTAACTTTATCCTCCCACTTCTATGTTTCTGATAACACTTAGGAACACGTATTTTGCTGTAGCCTTCTCACTAAGTATGCCTTCTTTTCAAATTAAAATACACAAAGACATCTCTAATAATGTAAAAGCAAAATACTTAATATATCTACAAAAACACTATATAATTCACTTTACTTTTTACCAAATATGCACTCTAAATAAATGTCATTTATCTGCAGGTTGAAAGGTGGCAAACATTTTTAAAGAATACAGTTTAGAAATGCCTATTTTTATAATAGGAAGACATATATAACTATTTAAAGTATACACAGTAATTGGAAAATAAATGAGGAACAATATAAAATACCCACTCTACCACGTAAAATTAAATGGATTATGCAGACACACATTATGTTGTTTACTTGCTATTTACTCATACATTTCTCTGATGCAAATAAACCAAAATACTAAAATTAATAACCATGCTTAACAAAAACATTTGACCAACAGCATGCTGAATAAAATAAATGCACAGGCACGCCTAAATAAATCAAATTCTTTTACATATTATTCCACAGTTTCGCATTTCTAAACTCATGCTTAGACAGGTAAATCACTCTAAGTTTTATGAACCTGTAACTATACAGTTATAGTCTTTACTATATTTATGTACATTGTTATACAGAATTTTTTTGATGGTACCAAGGAACAAACTCAGGACCTTGTGCTGGCCAGGCAAGCACTTAATCCACTGAGCTATCGTGCCAGCCCCCTGTTCAATATATCGCTTCAATGTTATTTAACATTTTCATACATATAAAAGAAGACAGAAATGGTAAAAAATTACAGTTTGAATGAGTTTTACTAGGAGAAGAAATGACAATTAGCTGAATAAAGAGCATACACTTGTCTTCACAGGCATAATTATGGAAGTAAAGGTACTAATTCAGTCCAATGGAAGTGCTACTTGGAAACTGCAAAATCACTCTATGAGTTCTAAAAGTTGAATAAAAACTCTGCGATACGTACCATACTGTGTAACAAATGCTATACAGCTGTTCACAATAATGGGAACGTCATTTTTGCTGAGCTGCTGATCTTGTAATGCATTACCATCTGTACCTGCTGCTTTTTCAATTGCAGTATGCCAGACTGTGAAATCCAACTTGGTATGCCCATGGATGTATAATGTTCTGTTAGGTTTAAAAAGCATTTCAAATTAGAATTAAAAAAAAAAAAAAAAAACTTCTCATCTCAAGACACATTAACCTTAAATCTACAAAAATATGGTCCTGTCTAACCCAGCTGAGTAACTTTTCCTTTTTTCCTTCCACACACGACTACCTTCCACTCAGTACATCTTTCCACGCAGTCCATCTTTCACCTGGATACTCACCCCTTACCGTGCCACCTCTGAACTCCCCTCGTAATACTAAGACTGTACTGGTACCACCAAGAGTTAACTTCTAATATGCATTTCTGGCTTTAGAAAAAAGATTTTAAAATAACTGATTATTTTATTTCTTTAGAAAGTTACCATCTGGGGCTGGGGAAATAGCTCAGTGGTCTAAGTGCCTGCCTGGCAAGTGCAAGGACCCGGGTTCGATCCCTGGTACTGCAAGCCATGCTGGTCCCAGAACCCCCTTTCTCCAAGTGGTAATTGCCTCTCAACTCAGATTGACTGACTGATTGACTGATTTGGTACAGTGTCTTGCCACACAACTCAGATTCATAGTGATCCTCCTGTCTCAGCCTCCCCAGGGTGGGATTACTTGTGTGCGCCACCATGCTTGATTTCTGGGCTGGCACTGCGCACCCAGGGTCCTGGGGCCAGCACAGAATGCAGTACCAGGGATCAAACCCAGGTCCTTATACTTGCAAGGCAGGCACTTAGAGCGCCAAGCTATTTCTCCAGCCCTCAACTTAGTTCTTGATTTTTTTTTAAGGCAAGAGTGTAGCAGCACTTAAAGTATGGGAACTGCAGTCGAACTTTCTAAATTGAAATTTTAGCTTTGCTGCTTGCTTGCTTGCTTTATAACTTTGGACAATTTATCAAGCTGTTTGTGCCTTCTCAGTTTCATCACCACTAAATTAAGGATGACAGAAGAACCTAGCTCAGCATGCAACACGTACTAATAACTAAGGAAGAATACTAATAAATGTTTGTTTTTGGACACCTTCATCTTAATATGCAACAAATTTGCCAAAGATTTCCCTCACAAATACTAAACTGTTCTTGACCCCACAATTCTCACTGCACCAGCAATTCAAGATTAACTCCAGCATCTTTTCTCCCTCAGTCAGCACCACAAACACTGTCACAAAACTCTGTTGACTCCACTTCCCAAAATACTCTCTGTGTCCTCTTCTTTCCAATACTGTCTCATTTCAGATTGTTGTACTGTTTCTTGAAGGCACTAAAAGTCCCAACAGAATTCCCTCCTCAATCCTCCCCCTTTTGAGCCCCTACTCCTCTGCACTACCAGAATGATCTTCTGAAAAGCTAATGACATGACGTATGGATCACTGTCAGCTCTCTCTGAGACAGCCTGTGTTTTGCCCTCCAAATAAGTCCTCTATACTCGACATACTCTAAGAAAACTGCATTTCCTGGGGCCAGGGAGATGGCTCAGTGGAGTAAGTGCTTCCCTGGAAAGTGCAAGTGCCTGAGTACAATCCTAAAAAAAAAAAAAAAATCACATTTCCTGTCTTTGCAATAAATATCTAACTTCTCCTTGGCTACTCTAACACAACCACCAGGATATACTCCATGTGACACTTGTAGGCTCTCTGGCTCTGATCTTCTGCTCCTAGCAGGTCACAAGTTTTCCTTCTTAACTCAACAGGTTATTTGTCCTCTGCCAAACCATCCGTTGAATTTACATATTTTAGCTACAAACTTTGTACAGGCAAGCAAGGAAAAGTACTTCCATCTCTCTAGTTAACACACAGTGCCTGCTCACATTTAGTGGATACCTAACAGTTGACCTGCATAAAGTGTCATTTTAAACAATTAATTGTACATGTATTTCAATTACACTCAAATTTAATCTTGATTTAAGTTGCAAGGAGAGGGCAACTTTTGATTCAAACCCCTCCTCGGCCTACCTCCTCTCTACTCCTCATCCCTTCCCTTCTCTTCTTGCAATGCTCTTACAAGAGGTGAAAGATACCACTGCCTTATTATGCTTTCCTTTCCAGTGGTACCTGAACAAGCTAGAACTTCAGCCTTTTACTGACACTTGTGCATAAAACCATCATCTGTGCCTCTCTGACCTCCTTATCTATTGTTTTTTGTTTCCACACCACCACAGCAACCCTCACAAAGATTCCATGATTTTAGTTACAAAGAATTCTGATACTTGCCCTAATACTTCTGCCATGTGTTAGCCGTTCATTTACCTTATAACATCTTTTGCTCAAAGATACTTGGTTGGTGGGTATGCTAAAGTAAAATGACATAACTCATAATTTCCCTGAAAAATATTAAGCTCCTAACATATGTACACATAGCCAAAACTGTCTTGCTAACTTCAGTTTAAGTAAAAAGAAAAACAGAATTCTTTTCATTTGAATGTATGTTTATGTGATAATTAGACTCTAAATATGATACAAAATCTTGGGAAATGTTTACTATGAGGGTTGTGAAAGTAATTCATAATGCAATGGTCCTCCTACAACACTAGGATAATTCTGTCTCTAACTGTGAACCTTTCAGACTTCATATTTTCTTTCTAGTCAGAAGAAATCCCCTGCTGACAAGTTTAGCTATCTTCTTGTGAACCAGTGAGCTACAGAACAAGGAATGACAGGTTAACTTCCAAGTCAGCGTGTCAGAGTGAATCCTAAAATGTATCATCTAGTTCAGTAGATGTCTAACACTTAACAGCATCAGTTTAACACCTTTCTTCTCTGATGCACATCAAAACTCTACACAGCAAACAAAGTATCACATGACATTTTCAACACAAATGCTGGCCAACTTTGTAATTTGGAGTTTTTCACATAATTCATTCACAGTTCAGGATAAAAGTTTCAAGGAAACCTTCATGTATATTCTGAAACTCTGAGAAGTTATTGTGAAAAACTACAATTAGAGAAATTTGCTATCGTAATTACCCATTCCCCAAGCAAAAATTTCCACATATCTTTCAAAATCATATAAAGAAACATTCCTCTTAGCTATAATGAATTGAGGCAATTCAGTAAGACCTAGGAAGCAAGTCCCAAAACTAATAAAGACAATTTTCTCAAAATTGCAATCTAATTGTTAACAATCATATTTGAGCTTGGTCTATGGACAAGAATCAGAAGCCTGTTCACAACTAATCAGATACTATATCTGATTGCATGAAAAATTATTCATAAAGAACACTGTCAATAAAATTTAACAAACAATGCACAATGAATTTTTAAAAAGAAATTATAAACATTTACATGAAAATAAAAAATCCCTAAGTCATCAACAGAAATATAAGCCATGAAAATTTGCAGAAAAATACAAAGTGCCAATAAACACAAGCTAAACTGCAAAGCTATATGAATATATATGAAACATATTATATTTGAAACATATATGTGTATGCATAAATACATGTATTGAGAGAATACAGCAATATGTCAAAAGTAAATTATCAAAGATGTAAATAGGTTTCTCAGTAAAGAGTAGAATAAGATGGATACTGTATATTATAAAATTATTAGATATTTGGAAGGGAAATTTGGAAATATATACTGAGACTTAAAATATATACATGTATAATTTTTGACAGGTAACAGCGATCACAGGACTCTACCATAAGCATATAGCTTGAAATGAAGATACAATACATATTTCTCACAATATCTATTGGGGCCTTTTCTCACACATGCACACACGCACACTAAAACATGTATTTATCACAACACTTAAAAAAATGGAAACAAATTTAAATCCCAACAAGTAAAGGTTAAATGATTTACTGTACACATAGATACATGTGCATAGTAAAATGAGTACAGAATACATAACTGAGTGTATGTATAAATTTAGTTCTATCTTTCAAAACTTTTAATTTTCAGTGGGTAAAAATCTATTTTATTATCTATAATATGTGTATTTAAATATTAAAAGCAAATGACACCAATCAACATGTTTGCCAGTCTCCTAAAGAAAGGGGTACGTATGGCAGCCTCCTGCACTTAGCGTTGTCTTCATCGAGCTCTTAAGCCAAAGAATTGAAAATAAGCCTTTTATTTATGACAAGGAAACTAAGGACTCAAAAGAATTTAGACAAGATCAAAAGTAAGGAATGAATTGTTAAATTTGAATTGCAAAGGTAGATTTTCTGATCCCACTTGGCGGAGCATGGTCAGACCAGGTCCTCGGTTATCACAAATGTTCATTGGAGAACTCTGATGTCACTTCTTTTTATCTTAACACAGCTTCACCAAAGTTTCCCAAGCAGCTTATCAAAAAATTACATTACTGCAATAAATGTGGAAAGTGATCCTTGTAGCCACTGCTAACAACAAATCTATAGTTGAACATCTTTTCAAGAACTTTATTCTTCCCATGATTTGGGATGCAACCTGAACAGGATGAAAACTAAATCCAGACTGAACCTAATTGCGGAATTTGATGTAGTTTGCACTGACTTTGGTTTGTGACGAGAATCAGAGAAAGAATTAAGTTTGTGAATCAAAGCACCAGTATCACTACACTTCCTTTTTTAAGGAAGGAACAGTTTTCATTGTACCTTGGAAAGCACTGAGGGGACACTGGAAATGTATGCAAGTGACTTTGGAAGGGAACTTTGGAAATGTTCACCATGTGTCTTTCTTTGTACTTACCTCTCAAAGGAGAGTACAGTAAGCATGCCAGGAGGCTTTGGATTTTTTGTGGGAATTTTATTGATGTGCATGATATCTGGTCATTAGAATTTTTTTTTTTTTGGTTGGCTCAGCCCACCCTGAGGGAAGGGCTGGCATGGCCATGTGGTGCCAGGGATCGAACCGTGGACCCCTGTGGCTGCCTAAGCAGGCACTTTAGACTGTTGAGCTATCTCACCAGCCCCCTAGAATTTTTAGTGTAGTAACATACACTAATTTTCACTGTACAGCTGAAAACATTTTTAAAAATGTCTTCTCTCTGTAGAACATCTCCATCATTCATAAAACTTCCTAGTAACTCTGCAGTAAATCACTCTACCCA